CAGATCGAGAGGTCAGCGGAGCGAAATCGTGTCTAACTTATCACCTGAAACTGAAGCTCGGATGCAAGCTTCAAAACAAAAAGCTTCAACCAAACTTTTTTGATTTTGAGAGTATCAAATTTGAACAGAAAAACTGAATTATTGAACGAAACGAAAACAAAGAGAAAGGGAACAATTTATGAAGAAAATCTAAAAAAATATAACTCACATTGACCATTGCGGGGATATAGCTTAGTAGTAGAGCATTTGACTACAGATTGAGAGTTCCTTGGTTCGAATCCGAGTGTCAACTAGCAAATTGAAGCTCGAACCTTTTTTTAATGCAAATCTATCAAATTGGGACAAACACCTTGAATTCTAGAGAAAAAAGAAACTGACACGTTTTTGCACTATTGTTAGATAATATAGTATTGCAACTTCAACGAAAGGGATCTGGCTCAGTGGTAAAGAATGCGAGTGCAGTTTAAAAGATACGCTGATTGAATCCGTGTGTACCTTATCACCGCAAAGTGCAACACAAACGCAAGATACAATTCTAAACAATTCGATCGAACTTTCCTGATTTCGAAAATACCAAACTTGAACAAAAAAATGAAATCATGAAAGAAATGAAAACGGAGAAAAAAAGAAACTGTTATCACTTTTGTTCTACATTTATTAATCCTAACCAACATTACATAAGTATAGCTCACTGGCAGAGAATTCAACAGCAGATCGAGAGGTCAGCGGAGCGAAATCGTGTCTAACTTATCACCTGAAACTGAAGCACGGATGCAAGCTTCAAAACAAAAAGCTTCAACCAAACTTTTTTGATTTTGAGAGTATCAAATTTGGACAGAAAAACTGAATTATTGAACGAAACGAAAACAAAGAGAAAGGGAACAATTTATGAAGAAAATCTAAAAAAATATAACTAACAGTAACCATTGCGGGGATATAGCTTAGTGGTAGAGCATTCGACTACAGATTGAGAGGTCCTTGGTTCGAATCCGAGTGTCAATTAGCAAATTGAAGCTCGAACCTTTTTTTATGCAAATCTATCAAATTGAGACAAACACCTTGAATTCTAGAGAAAAAAGAAAATGACACGTTTTTGCACTGCTGTTAGATAATATAGAATTGCAACTTCAACGAACGGGATCTGGCTCAGTGGTAAAGAATGCGAGTGCAGTTTAAAAAATACGCTGATTGAATCCGTGTGTACCTTATCACCGCAAAGTGCAACACAAACGCAAGATATAAATCTAAACACTTCGATCGAACTTTTCTGATTTCAAAAGTACCAAACTTGAACAAAAAAATGAATTCATGAAAAAAATGAAAACGAAGAAAAAAGAAACTGTTGGCACTTTTCTTCGACATTTATTAATCCTAACCAAAATTACATTAGTATAGCTCACTGGCAGAGAATTCAACAGAAGACCGAGAGGTCAGCGGAGCAAAATTGTGTGTAACTTATCACCTGAAACTGAAGCACGGGCGCAAGCTTCAAAACAAAAAGCTTCAAGCAAACTTTTTAAATTTGGAAAGTATTAAATTTGGACAGAAAAACTGAATTTTTGAACGAAGTGAAAACAAAGAGAAAGGGAACAATTTATGAAAAAAATCTTAAAGTTATTACTCAATTATATCGCTGCGGGGATATAGCTCAGTGGTAGAGCATTTGACTGCAGATCGAGAGGTCCTTGGATCGAATCCGAGTGTCCCCTAACTTATTGCAGATCGAATTTCTTTTTTATACAAATCTACCGAACTTGGACAAACACCTTGAAGTCTTGAAAAAAAAACTGAAAGGTTTTAAGACTGCTGTTAGACAATACAAAATTGCAACTTCCACGAACGGGTCTGGCTCAGCGGTGAAGAATGCGAGTGCAGTTTAAGAGATTCGCTGATTGAATCCGTGTGTACCTTATAAAAATCACAAACCGCAAAGTGCAATAAAAACGCAAGATAAAAATCTAAACAATTCGATCGAACTTTTCTGATTTCGAAATTACATAACTTGGACAAAAAAATGAATACATGAAAAAAATGAAAACGAAGAAAAAGGAAACTGTTGTCACTTTTCTTCGACATTGATTAATCCTAACCAACATTACATTAGTATAGCTCACTGGCAGCGAATTCAACAGAATACCGAGAGGTCAGCAGAACGAAATCGTGTGTAACTTATCACCTGAAACTGAAGCACGGGCGCAATCTTCAAAACAAAAAGCTTCAAGCAAACTTTTTTAATTTGGAAAGTATTGAATTTAGACAGAAAAACTGAATTTTTGAACGAAGTGAAAACGAAGAGAAAGGTAACAAATTCTGAAAAAATCTTAAATTTATTACTCAATAATTCCGATGCGGGGATATAGCTCAGTGGTAGAGCATTCGACTGCAGATCGAGAGGTCCTTGTTTCAAATCCGAGTGTCCCCTAACAAATTGAAGCTCGAACTTCGTATTTATGCAAATCTATCAAATTTGGACAAACACCTTGAATTCTAAAAAAAAAGAAACTGAAAAGTTTTAAGACTGCTGTTAGATAATACAAAATTGCAACTTCCACGAACGGGTCTGGCTCAGTGGTGAAGAATGCGAGTGCAGTTTAAGAGGTACGCTGATTGAATCCGTGTGTACATTATCACCGCAAAGAGCAACACAAACGCAAGATATAAATCTAAACAATTGGATCGAACTTTTCTGACTTCGAAAGTACCAAATTTGGACAAAAGAATGAATTCATGAAAGAAAAGAAAACTAAGGCAAAGAAACTACTGTCACTTTTCCTCAACACTAATTAATCATAACCAACATCAAATTAGTATAGCTCACTGGCAGAGAATTCAACAGCAGATCGAGAGGTCAGCGGAGCGAAATCGTGTGTAACTTATCACCTGAAACTGAAGCACGGATGCAAGCTTCAAAACAAAAAGCTTCAACCAAACTTTTTTGATTTTGAGAGTATCAAATTTGGACAGAAAAACTGAATTATTGAACGAAACGAAAACAAAGAGAAAGGGAACAATTTATGAAGAAAATCTAAAAAAAATATAACTCACATTAACCAGTGCCGGGATATAGCTTAGTGGTAGAGCATTCGACTACAGATTGAGAGGTCCTTGGTTCGAATCCGAGTGTCAAATAGCAAATAGAAGCTCGAACCTTTTTTTTATGCAAATCTATTAAATTGGGACAAACACCTTGGGTTCTAGAGAAAAAAGAAAATGACACGTTTTTGCACTGCTGTTAGATAATATAGAATTGCAACTTCAACGAACGGGATCTGGCTCAGTGGTAAAGAATGCGAGTGCAGTTTAAAAGATACGCTGATTGAATCCATGTGTACCTTATCACCGCAAAGTGCAACACAAATGCAAGATATAAATCTAAACACTTCGATCGAACTTTTCTGATTTCGAAAGTACCAAACTTGGACAAAACAATGAATTCATGAAAAAAATTAAAACGAAGAAAAAAGAAACTGTTGGCACTTTTCTTCGACATTTATTAATCCTAACCATCATTACATTAGTATAGCTCACTGGCAGAGAATTTAACAGAAGACCGAGAGGTCAGCGGAGCGAGGACGTGTGTAACATATCACCTGAAACTGAAGCACGGGCGCAAGCTTCAAAACAAAAAATTTCCAGCAAACTTTTTAACTTTGGAAAGTATTAAATTCGGACAGAAAAACTGAGTTGTTGAACGAAGTGAAAACAAAGAGAAAGGGAACAATTTATGAAAAAAATCTTAAAGTTATTACTCATTAATACCGTTGCTGGGATATAGCTCAGTGGTAGAGCATTCGACTGGAGATCGAGAGGTCCTTGGTTCCAATCCGAGTGTCCCCTAACAAATTGAAGCTCGAATTTATTATTTATGCAAATCTATCAAATTTGGACAAACACCTTGAATTCTAAAAAAAAAAGAAATTGAAATGTTTTTAGACTGCTGTTAGATAATTTGGACAAAAGAATGAATTCATGAAAGAAATGAAAACTAAGGCAAAGAAACTACTGTCACTTTTCCTCAACACTTAATAATCCTAACCAACATCAAATTAGTATAGCTCACTGGCAGAGAATTCAACAGCAGATCGAGAGGTCAGCGGAGCGAAATCGTGTGTAACTTATAACCTGAAACTGAAGCACGGATGCAAGCTTCAAAACAAAAAGCTTCAACCAAACTTTTTTATTTTTGAGAGTATCAAATTTGGACAGAAAAACTGAATTATTGAACGAAACGAAAACAAAGAGAAAGGGAACAATTTATGAAGAAAATCTAAACAAATATAACTCACATTAACCATTGCGGGGATATAGCTTAGTGGTAGAGCATTCGACTACAGATTGAGAGGTCCTTGGTTCGAATCCGAGTGTCAACTTGCAAACTGAAGCTCGAACCTTTTTTTAATGCAAATCTATCAAATTGGGACAAACACCTTGAGTTCTAGAGAAAAAAGAAAATGACACGTTTTTGCACTGCTGTTAGATAATATAGAATTGCAACTTCAACGAACGGGATCTGGCTCAGTGGTAAAAAATGCAAGTGCAGTTTAAAAAATACGCTGATTGAATGCGTGTGTACCTTATCACCGCAAAGTGCAACAAAAACGCAAGATATACATCTAAACAATTCGATCGAACTTTTCTGATTTCAAAATTACCAAACTTGGACAAAAAAATGAATACATGAAAGAAATGAAAACGAAGAAAAAAGAAACTGTTGTCACTTTTGTTCAACATTTATTAATCCTAAACAACATTAGTATAGCTCACTGGCAGCGAACTCAACAGAAGACCGAGAGGTCAGCGGAGCGAAATCGTGTATAACTTATCACCTGAAACTGAAGCACGGGCGCAATCTTCAAAACAAAAAGCTTCCAGCAAACTTTTTTAATTTGCAAAGTATTGAATTTGGACAGAAAAACTGAATTTTTGAACGAAGTGAAAACGAAGAGAAAGGTAACAAATTATGAAAAAATCTAAAAGTTATTACTCATTATTGCCGATGCGGGGATATAGTTCAGTGGTGGAGCATTCGACTGCTGATCGAGAGATCCTTGTTTCGAATCCGAGTGTCCCCTAATAAATTGAAGCTCGAACTTCGTATTTATGCAAATCTATCAAGTTTGGACAAACACCTTGAATTCTAAAAAAAAGAAACTGAAAAGTTTTAAGACTGCTGTTAGATAATACAAAATTGCAACTTCCACGAACGGTTCTGGCTCAGTTGTGAAGAATGCGAGTGCAGTTTAAGAGGTACGCTGATTGAATCCGTGTGTACATTATCACCGCAAGGTGCAACACAAACGCAAGATATAAATCTAAACAATTCGATCGAACTTTTTTGATTTCGAAAGTACCAAACTTGGACAAAAAAATGTTTTCACGGAAAAAATGAAAACGAAGAAAAACGAAACTGTTGTCACTTTTCTTCGACATTGATAAATCCTAACCAACATTACATTAGTATTGCTCACTGTCAGCGAATTCAACAGAAGACCGAGACGTCAGCGGAGCAAAATCGTGTGTAACTTATCACCTGAAACTGAAGCACGGGCGCAAGCTTCAAAACAAAAAGCTTCAAGCAAAATTTTTTAATTTGGAAAGTATTAATTTGGACAGAAAAACTGAATTTTTGAACGAAGTGAAAACGAAGAGAAAGGTAACAAACTATGAAAAAATTTAAAAGTTATTACTCATTTATACCGATGCGGGGATATAGCTCAGTGGTAGAGCATTCGACTGCAGATCGAATCCGACTGCAGATCGAATCGACTGCAGACCGACTGCAGAGTCCTTGTTTCGAATCCGAGTGACCACTAACAAAATGAAGCTCGAACTTCGTATTTTTGCAAATCTATCAAATTTGGACAAACACCTTGAATTCTAAAAAAAAAGAAACTAAAAAGTTTTAAGACTGCTGTTAGATAATACAAAATTGCAACTTCCACGAACGGGTCTGGCTCAGTGGTGAAGAATTCGAGTGCAGTTTAAGAGGTACGCTGATTGAATCCGTGTTTACATTATCGCCGCAAGGTGCAACAACAACGCAAGATATAAATCTAAACAATTCGATCGAACTTTTCTGATTTTGAAATTACCAAACTTGGACAAAAAAAATGAATTCATGAAAGAAATGAAAAGGAAGAAAAAAGAAACTGTTGTCACTTTTGTTCAACATTTATTAATCCTAACCAACATTAGTATAGCTCACTGGCAGAGAATTCAACAGCAGATCGAGAGGTCAGCGGAGCAAAATCGTGTATAACTTATCATCTGAAACTGAAGCACGGACGCAAACTTCAAAACAAAAAGCTTCAATCAAAGTTTTTTGATTTTGAAAGTCTCAAATTTGGATAGAAAAACTGAATTTTTGAACGAACTGAAAACAAAGAGAAAGGGAAGAATTTATGAAGAAAATCTAAAAATTATTACTCATTTTAAACACTGCGGGCAAATAGCTCAGTGGTAGACCATTTGACTGCAGATCGAGAGGACCTTGTTTCGAATCCAAGTCTACTCTAACCAATTGAAGCTCGAACTTCTTTTTCATGCAGTTCTATCAAATTTGGACAAACACCTTGAATTCTAGAAAAAAAGAAACTGAAACGTTTTGCATTGCTGTTAGATAATAAAAAATTGCAACTTACAATACCTTGATGTGGCTCAGTGGTAAAGAATGCGACTGCAGTAAGAGAGGTACGCGAGTTGAACACAAGCTATGATTCTAGGCAACACAAACGCAAGATCTAATTCTAAACAATTCCATCGAACTTTTCTGATTCCGAAAGTATCAAACTTGGACAAAAAAGTGAAAATATGAAACAAAGCAAGCAAGGAAATTTTTGTTACTGTTCTTTACAAATTAGTACTCCTAACCAACATTCAGGTAGTACAACTGAGTGGTAGAGAATTCAACAGCAGATCGAGAGGTCAGCGGAACAAAATCGTGTGTAACCTATCACCTGAAACTGAAGCACGGACGCAACCTTTAAAACAAAAAGCTTCAACCAAACTTTTGGATTTCAAAAGTATCAAAATCGTAAGAAAATAATATATTTTCGAAAAACAGAAAAGAAGACGAATTTTTTCGAATATTATATAAACAATATTACTCCTGAACAATTATAAAGTGATATAGCTCAGTGGTGAAGCATTTGGCAACAGTCCGAGAGATCCTTAGTTCGCATCCAAATGTCACCTAATACATGAAGCTTCCAAATCTTTTGTTTTCTTGCGAAAGTATGAAACATGGAAAAAAAGTTTGACATCTCAAAATTAGTTGAAATCAATATCAAAAAAAAATTTTAGAACCATTTCTTTGGCTAAACTAAAAAGGACAAAAGGAATCAATTTTTGACTACTATTTGAACAATCGAAAAGTAAACATAGGTAGGAAAATTACTGATTTTTCAAGACCTCAAAAAGGAATAAAATAACTCAATTCAATCGATTTTTTGATTGAGAAATTATCAAATTTGGACAGAGAAAATGAAATTTTGAACGAAGTGAAAACGAAGAGAAAGGGTATAATTTATGATGGAACTCTAAAAACTATTACACATGCTTACTATTGCGGTGATAAAGCTCAGTGGTAGAGCATTCGACTGCAGATCGAGAGGTCCTTGGTTCGAATCCGAGTGTCGCCTAACTTTTTGCAGATCGAACTTCTTTTTTATACAAATCTATCGAACTTGGACAAACACCTTGAAGTTTTGAAAAAAAAACTGAAATGTTTAAAGACTGCTGTTAGATAATACAAAATTGCAACTTCCACGAACGGGTCTGGCTCAGTGGTGAAGAATGCGAGCGCAGTTTAAGAGATACGCTGATTGAATCCGTGTGTACCTTATCACTGCAAAGTGCAACACAAACGCAAAATATAAATCTAAACAATTCGATCGAACTTTTTCTGATTTCGAAATTACCAAACTCGGACAAAAAAACTAATACATGAAAGAAATGAAAACGAAGAAAAAAGAAACTGTTGTCACTTTTGTTTAACATTTATCAATCCTAGCCAACATTAGTATATCTCATTGGCAGAGAATTCAACAGCAGATCGAGAGGTCAGCGGAGCAAAATCGTGTACAACTTATCACCTGAAACTGAAGCACGGGCGCAAGCTTCAAAGAAAAAGCTTCAATCAAACTTTTTCGATTTTGAAAGTTTCAGAATTGGGTAGAAAAACTGAATGGTTGAATGAATTGAAAACGAAGAGAACGGGAACAATTTATGAAAAAAATCTAAAAGTTATTATCATTCATACAGTTGCGGGGATATAGCTCATTGGTAGAGCATTCGACTGCAGATCGAGAGGTCCTTGGTTCGAATCCGAGTGTCCCCTAACAAATTGAAGCTCGAACTTATTATTTACGCAAATCTATCAAATTTGGACAAACACATTGAATTCTAAAAAAAAAGAAACTGAAATGTTTTAAGACTGCTGTTAGATAATACAAAATTGCAACTTCCACTAACGGGTCTGGCTCAGTGGTGAAGAATGCGCGTGCAGTTTAAGAGATACGCTGATTGAATCCGTGTGTACATTATCTCGCAAGGTGCAACACAAACGCAAGATATAAATATAAACAATTCGATCGAACTTTTTTGATTTCGAAATTACCAAACTTGGACAAAAAATTGAATACATGAAAGAAATGAAAACGAAGAAAAAAGAAACTGTCACTTTTGTTTGACATTTATTAATCCTAACCAACATTAGTATATCTCACTGGCAGAGAATTCAACGGCAGATCGAGAGGTCAGCGGAGCAAAATCGTGTACAACTTATCACCTGAAACTGAAGCACGGACGCAAGCTTCAAAGAAAAAGCTTCAATCAAACTTTTTCGATTTTGAAAGTTTCAGAATTGGGTAGAAAAACTGAATGGTTGAATGAATTGAAAACGAAGAGAACGGGAACAATTTATGAAAAAAATCTAAAAGTTATTATCATTAATACCGTTGCGGGGATATAGCTCAGTGGTAGAGCATTCGACTGCAGATCGAGAGGTCCTTGGTTGGAATCCGAGTATCCCCTAACAAATTGAAGCTCGAACTTTTTATTTATGCAAATCTATCAAATTTGGACAAACACATTGAATTCTAAAAAAAAAGAAACTGAAATGTTTTATGACTGCTGTTAGATAATACAAAATTGCAACTTCCACTAACGGGTCTGGCTCAGTGGTGAAGAATGCGAGTGCAGTTCAAGAGATTCACTGATTGAATCCGTGTGTACCTTATCACCGCAAAGTGCAACACAAACGCAAGATATAAATCTAAACAATTCGATCGAACTTTTCTGATTTCGAAATTACCAAACTTGGACAAAAAATTGAATACATGAAAGAAATGAAAACGAAGAAAAAAGAAACTGTCACTTTTGTTTAACATTTATTAATCTTAACCAACATCAGTATATCTCACTGGCAGAGAATTCAACGGCAGATCGAGAGGTCAGCGGAGCAAAATCGTGTACAACTTATCACCTGAAACTGAAGCACGGACGCAAGCTTCAAACAAAAAGCTTCAACCAAACTTTTTGGATTTTGAAAGTTTCAAATTTGGGTAGAAAAACTGAATGGTTGAATGAATTGAAAACGAAGAGAACGGGAACAGTTTATGAAAAAAATCTAAAAGTTATTACTCATTAACACCGTTGCGGGGATATAGCTCAGTGGTAGAGCATTCGACTGCAGATCGAGAGGTCCTAGGTTCGAATCCGAGTGTCCCCTAACAAATTGAAGCTCGAACTTATTATTAATGCAAATCTATCAAATTTGGACAAACACATTGAGTTCTAAAAAAAAAACTGAAATGTTTTAAGACTGCTGTTAGATAATACAAAATTGCAACTTCCACTAACGGGTCTGGCTGGTGAAGAATGCGAGTGCAGTTTAAGAGATACGCCGATTGAATCCGTGTGTACATTATCACCGCAAGGTGTAACACAAACGCAAGATATAAATATAAACAATTCGATCGAACTTTTTTGATTTCGAAAGTACCAAACTTGGACAAAAAAATGTTTTCACGGAAAAAATGAAAACGAAGAAATACGAAACTGTTGTCACTTT